GGTCTCCCAAACAAGCACGCTGAGAGTGAGAGGTTATGGCCGGAGGAGGGGAGCTGGGCTCCGTCTTGCACACCGAAGCCATGGAGCCCAAACCCATTGCACTGGAAGTTTGTTGCGTGTATGCTGGTGACATGCTGCTGTACGTGGACGCGGCGTTCATGTAGGTCTGAGCCGTGGACATCATTGGGTACTGAAGTCCCGCCATGTCGTACCGGTGCATCTGCTGGATCTGGGGGCTGTTCATGCTGGGATGTTGAGGGTAGGCCAGCTGGTCCTGCATGAGGGAGTATGCGCTGTTCGTCCATCCGTTCATGTGCGTGTAGTCCATCCGCTGGCCCACCGACACCGCGTTGTTGACAGCGTTGGCACCGGGCGCCAGGAGTCCCCCTGGCAAAGAATACTTGTCTTTCTTCAGCAGGGTCTTGGTCTTCCTGCGGGGACGGTATTTGTAATCCGGGTGCTCCTTCATGTGCATGGCTCGTAACCGCTTGGCCTCGTCAATGAAGGGTCTCTTCTCGGCGTCAGTCAAAAGTTTCCAGTCAGCACCGAGGCGCTTGCTGATCTCCGAGTTGTGCATTTTAGGATTCTCCTGAGCCATCTTCCTCCGCTGCCCGCGAGACCACACCATGAAAGCATTCATAGGCCGCTTCACCCGGTCCTGGTCGTTGGCACTGTTGTTTTTGCCGCCCGTCACCGAGCCCGTGTTGGACTGCGGAATGGGGCTTTTAATCTCGGTTTCCATCATGTTATACATTCTTAAAAGTGGTGCCAAGCACTCGAAAGAAAACGTTGAAATTTCAAGAGTCTCACAAAAAAATGAAGTCAGTCAAAAGTTCAGAGAGCTCAAACTCTGGTCAAGTAAAGTCTTTCAAAAGTCTCCACAACAGTGCCGTGTGTCTCGTTCTGCTCTGCCACGGAACTCTGCAAAGTTGTGCGCTAAGCTCAGCTGTTAATAGAGCCTCGGCCATGTGATTTGGATTGACAGCATAACAATGAGCTAAAGCCGACCAATCAGACAGCACCTCACACTCCTCCATCGCAAGTGTAGGGCTGCCTGTGCACCAGTGTTTCTGGATGCACTTTAAATTGGGATAAAATAGCTACATCAGGGACATCTTTGCACTTTAACAAAACTATAGTCACTCTGGAAACGCTGCTTCAAAGCGGTCGTTTTCACAACAAAACAACCGTTTCAGGACAAATAGGGTTATTAAATAAATATTAAAACTTTCTAAATTTTCCCGGAAAAATGTAAAAGGTGTTATGTATAGCTAATAGATTAAGGCAATTTTCTTGCAAGAGTTAAGAAAGATTGTACTTATGCTGCTAGAATCGAACGTAGATACCTAAACTCTGAACTTCACACCTGACAATGCACAATGTTTAATCATATAGCCTAATACATACATAAGAAATTAGTTTAATTTATTATTTAAGACTTTAGAATGTTGATGGCCAGTTCCTTTTAGCTAATTAATTAAAATATATAATTTTAATTCCTTTACATCTAATATAATTTGTATTGACTTGTAATTTTTAAAACACTAAATGTTTTCTCCGACATAGTTAGACTGGAAATTTAAACTGTTTCGTTGAAAAATCTTAAACTCGTGGGCATAAGCGCACTTTCAATCAAAAATAGGAAAAAAGTAATTTACTCAATACAAACTTTTACAGTAGGCTAAAAATATTTAAATTATTTGTCTCATCTAACTTTTGGCATCTCCATTGTTTGCCTTTTTCTATTGGTATATATTCATGTTTACAGGCTAAACTGAGAACTGAAAATTCTAATGCATAAAGCAAACATTCAGCAAAACAAATTTTATGTTAAGACAGTTTGCATATTGCCAAGTGTATAAAGTGCAAAGAATGGAATACAAAGTTAATACAGGTACGCCCCCCTGTGGGCCGGTCTTGTATTGTTCTGAAGCAAAAAATAATAATAATAACTATCATCTACACTAGACTCCTATGCGACTTTTTGGAACGTATGTTAACTATTTATTTAAAAATGACCAATTATTGTCAATTGCAATAATCATACGTGTTATGTGATTTACAAATTATCCTAAAGTGTGCTCTCTTGGGAGAGCTTTTCGGTCTCCCGGGGAGAACTCGCACATTGAAAAGAATCAGTATTAGCACATCGAGAACACCGCCATTTAACACATTCAACGCCACTGAGACTGAACTATTACAGCTCTGAATATTCACGATGGGCTTTTAACGCCACACACTAACGACCCAACCATTTAGTTTCGCCGTGTGGGAGCGATTTGTAGGACACGTACGCCAACACGTCGCCGTTATTTACTTTCCAAACTGCTCTTAAGTGTTGTTACTCCATGTTGATATTCGGGTTTACAATTGTAAATCGGGGCATAAATTATTCATCGTACAAATTCATGCAATAGAACAATTTGAACATGCTCGGCTTAAGCCTTGTAGTAGGCCTAGAGTAAATAACAAAACATTCTCCAATCAAATTATTAAAAAATATATATTTTAGGAAATATTCAAATAAAGTAGACCTAATAGCTAATGTGTTTAATACTTTATAGCATTAATGGTCTATATTATAGGCCTATCATACTATTATTAATATAATAGTTACAATTTTATCTAAAATTTAGCAATTTTTTTGACAGGTCAATTGCTTTAAATAAAGAAAGGAGTTAAAACCACATTTTCACAGCTTAATCGACACCATCTCCATTAAGCTTTTTTTTTTTTTTTACTGTGGACTTTTCTACAGCTTTACCTGGGAGACAAAACCCTTAACTTTCTCATTTGGAACATCATTATTCACTTTGCATCAACATATATAGCGATTCACAAGCCGTTATGACAAAAGATCTTAATTAGAGACTTATTCCACGAAACCGGTGATTTATCCGAGTGGTTTCAGGAACATATCCTCTTGTAATCTGCTTATGGAAATGCAGGAGGACAGCGGGGAAAGGAAAACTCCCAGTTACCCGGAGCTCGGTAATGAGGGCTTCTGTTCTACAAATTTCCCAATTAACGTAAGCTAAGGCCGTGGACCACCAGGAAAGCCTCCCAGTGTTCAACATCATTGAGCTTCGAGCCACACGGCTTCCGAAAATCACTCACGTGTATGATGGCCGAGCAGAGAATTGCCCATTAATGTGGTAGGTAGCCTAATCAGCAGACTGTTTAAATGACCCGAATAAACCAAAACTGCTACTGTGCAGCAGGTTAATACAATAAGCAGGTCATTATATGTTAAATTAACACTCAAAAATAAACGGCAAATGCAAACACCTAAACTTAGGCTGTACTTGACATTTCAATTGAGAGCACATGGAAAATAGATATATCAACTTATTACCTATTTTGTCAAACATCTGAAACTTAAGATGTCAGATTGTATTAGCTGAATGCTTTAACATCTTTCACAGTAAACTAGGCTACTGAAAAACCAACAATATCCAGACAATAAATCACCACACGACTTCTATATATCACCGTCTTTTTTCCGAGTCAGTAATTCATTTGTTAATTAGCTCAACCTAAACAATTAAAGTGGAAGTAAATTATAGGAAAGCGCACGCAGAGCTCAAAAGACACTGTTAATAAGGGTATAATCAGGTGTTGCTTGCGCTTAACAAAGTTTAAACAGTGAACTTCATTTATTAGCATATAATATAAGGAACGCGTCACAACCAAATTTAGGGTACACGAACCAAAAACTTAATATTTGAGATTGTTTTATAGCCATAAAAACACTATGCCTTTAATTTTTTAAAAGTAGCCTATATAAAATAATAAAAAGATCGTACCGACTCCCGATATTTATTCTGGAGGAAAAAAATATAATTTAAATAAATTTAAATTATATAATTTATAGCAGATATGTCTTTCGAATTGTGAACAACTGTAATGTGTTAAACGAACCTTTAGACAAACCGATGGTCTACTAAAATAATTAGTCTCATAAAAATGTCCTTATTTAATTTTCACCTGCGATTTTTAAGATCAAACACATGTTCTTAAACCATTAACCATTGCTCTGGGGTCCATTTAAACGTCAAAGTCGTGTGAATTAATAACTTTTTGTTTCAACTCACTGGTTTCGAATAAGGCCAGGGCTACCGTGGGTAACAGAATGATTTTTCAATTGCACACACAATAAAGACCGTCTCAGTGGGATTTGCATGATTTTTGAACCGAATATGCAAATTAAGATGCAATTTCAGCACGGTCTGTTATTCCTATTGTATTTCGCTGAATGGTTGCGTTCTGACACTGGTAAAATAAAACTCACTGGTCAATTAAAGAAAAGAGGCTAAAGTCTGACCCTCTTTCAGATGTCACGGTTAACTATTGATGATATCCTGTTTTATATTTAAAGCATTTGAGACCGGTCATTAAATTTAGCCAAAAGTTATTACTGCTGCAAAAGCAGGTAAAGAAAAAAGCTAATATATATTTTATTTTACTTTAAAATGTACATTAATTTAAAATCTCCAACACATAAAAATATTTTTCAATTTTATATATTTTTCAAGTTTTACTTAAACTGATTTAATCGAAGTTAAGTTAATGTGAGCGTTTCAGATTAATAAATAAGTTTACATTTAAAACAAATAATCTAATGCATAAATATATAAAGGGCAATTATAATCAAGGATTAAAAGATAAATGACAAGGCCTGCATTTACACACATTATCTTTCTACAACAAGTTTGTAAATCCCGTTCAAGCACTATTGCTCTTTCATTGCAGAGAACAATTACCGATCATCAAATGAAAAGGTATGTCTAAGCCACAAATACTTCAGGCAAATTTAGACATCTAAACTCATTACGCAGTTTCTACTTCTTAATGAGTGAACCTGATTTTAAATGAATTAAATTTCTATGCAGAAAAGAAAAAAATGAAACGAAATGCTGTATAACTCTTTTGCATTGTTAATCCATATATCCAATTTACTTTATTTACTTCACCAATAAAGGCAAGTCAGATTTCTTTACCTGTAAACAGTTAGACCACACCGTTGAACAATAAATCACGTGTCTTCCATTGATGTCCACAGCCTGTTTAATTGGTTTGTCATTTTACCATTCAGTCCGAAAAAAAGAAAATGCACTTTCATCTGAAAAAAAGAAAATGCATTCTCATCACACTCAAGCACACATTTATATGTCCTGACAGAGAATGCACGTAGATATCGTCTGGCACTTAAGAAATAAATAGTAGCAGACATTTGTATAACAAATGACTACCAACTCACATTTTGAACACTGGTCTAAATTCTAAATCACATATTGAAATGTATAAACTTAAACGATTTATTTTTCATTTTTCTGGTAAAAATTTTTTAAAAACATCTTTTAGAGAAATTTAAAAAGGACAACAGTGCATTTAATAAAGAAAGGACTTCATTCATTCTGGTTTATCAATGGTTCCATGAAGGACCTTTAACTTCTAGATCATTTGTAGTTCAGAAAGAGCTCTTCCTGATTAATAATGGTTTTTGAAAATTATAAAATGTTCTACACTCTTACGATTATGAGCATGTTGTGCATCATTCAAACACAGCAATAAAAAAAGCAGACGTGGAATAAACAAATTTGTCATTTTGTTAAAAGAACCAGACCCCTCCTTTGACTAGATTGACTTCTTTACTATATTTATGCAGGTGCCTCTTTCAGTTTGGCAATTTGAGAATACATTCATATTTGAGACAGGATGGAGGAATTTGACTTGCTGTACAATAATAGAGAAAAGGTTTGCTACATGTTCTGCTTGTTTATAGCCCAACACTCCATAACTTATTATTCCATAAACTCCACAGCAATACAACAATTTTAACAATTCAGCTTTGCTTTTATTTGTACAATTTCAGGGTATTTTTTTTATAATTTCCACCTGGCACACAATACATCAGTTTATAGGAACCTGGTAAGTAACACAAAACTAGCAATTTACTTTTTATTAGGGTGCTCGGCATATATGAGCACATCCCCCACAAATCTCTCATTTAAATTAATATTTTCCATAGGACTTTTTTAAATAATATCTTTGTGCATTTTACATTAGATTAGTCAGTACTGAAGCCAAATCTGGAGTTTATCTAAAAAAATAACTTACAATAATGACTCAAAATTTAGTAGCCCAAATATATGTTAGGGGGAAAATATTAAATACAATTTTGTTGATATGTTGTAGGTTGTAATTTTCTTTACATGAGTTTAAATGTATTTTCTTTCCATTTTTAATAATGTTCTGTGACTAAAATATTATTTCAATAAAATATTTGTTTAATAAATCTATTTTGTTCAAATGGACCAATATATATTACCCATTTCACTGAGAAATGGATAGAAATATTCCTTTTCAAAATGGGCTGTACTCAATTATGATGAACACTGTGACTTTCCACACATTAAATAATAATCTGCCTAAAACGATGCACCAATTTTTAAATTTCTTTTAAAAAACATATGCATTTACAAAGAATATGATAACGGTCACTATATTAGTGTATGTTGCAGCACATGAATAAAGGCATGTTTGAGAAGCTCCTTAGCCAATCAGTCAGTGATAAATAGGATTTGTAATCTAATGCAGCATGAAGCTAATGTGCACACATCATCTGCAGGGACATTAAGACATGCTGCACATGCTCTGAATGCACAGTCTCTATTTGCTGCTCAATGACAACATTTTTCTACAATATCTTTAACTTTCAGGAGGAAAAAATTTTAACGAAACATTAATAAAAGCACATTTAGTACATGATGCGTTAAATGAAAATAGTTTTAACTACATTTATTCTAGGCCAGTGAAAGCTAATTTCAATTAAACCGCTGATTTAATTTAGCAGAAAATGACTATAAATATGGTTTTGATTAAATCACTGAGCAAATTCTAATAGCACATGCAATTGTCTTTGAGTTTGGAGGTGTTATTACCTTTGGCTAAATTAATCGGAAGGGGTTTCTCAATGTGTTAAGCAGTATCTCAGTCTCCAGCACATCAGAATTTGATAATGTTTATAACATCTCAGGATAAGTGTCTGTCAGACAAACGATTAGAATGGTACACAAGGAAATAATTTTTAAATAAAGAAAGAAATGGGTCTAAAACAACAAACTTTCATTTTCAGGAACCACATATCAATATTGAGCATACTGAGCAAAATACACAGTAAATTTTTTTAACTCCATGTTGTCTTTTGTCAGGCAGATTTGCAGAAATGGATCAAAATTACCATCATTGAAATGCCATCATTGGCTGCAAGGCTAATTACAGACCTCATTATTTCCCATGTATCTTTTGAATCATTTCCATGTACTACAGTTTCTCCAAAACAATGGAAACTTTCTCTTTTTTTGTTTAGCACAGAATGCTGAGTTGTCTGATTCTGCTTTGCACCAAATGTGGCAAGCAGATGGCTTTTGTTTTTAACATAATTAAGATCCCACTAATCTGGTGCCTTTTAAAACGAAACAGTCGCTTCGTCAGACCTTCATTAGTTAAGATAATATTGTGGAAATGCACAATTAATTTGCAGGGTATATCTTTAATTAATTAAATACACCCAATTTTGTAATATGATTAATGCCAGAAAGTTGCTATCTCCAAATTATTCCAAAATGAATACGTAATGATTAGACTGAGGTCCCGGCTGTGGCTAAAAACCTGAAGAACTAATTACGCAGGGTAATTTATTAAATCTCCAGGAAAGAAACAAACAAGTATAAATTGATATATTAATCATGGGTTTCATTACGTTAATCTGCCAGTGATTTGAGGTGAAAATGACGAATCTCTGTTGAACGCTGAGCACTTGATAATGGAGATACTGCCCATAAATTTACTCTACATAAAGGCCTCATTAAAAGAAGCATAATTTAATTAAGAGTTAGCCATCGCCCTCTAAATGCATTAATTACCTTGGGTATGATGAGATGAGTTTTGGGATTACTGATGATTTCATTATGGCCAGTGTTGCTGCTAACTGTGGCAGGGACCTGCTGTTGTTGACAGGATAATGGATTGGGTGCCTGGGGATGAATCTCTTCACCTTGGCAAAAAGAGAAACAGAGGGGACACAGAGGACTACTGGACCCCTGAACAGTAGGTGGACACCAGCGTCCATTATATTTATCAACTAGCTGAGTTCCATATCAGTATCTGTCCAATGAGCACTGTGAGCTGTGCGAAGCTCAATATTTTATATTACGTCATATGTCACGCAAATGTTGTCGCATAAAACAGCATAAAAACGCGTAAAACATGATTTATGACAGCAACCTGTAACAAATACTAGCATAGGGCCTACTGTCGCTACGAAATCAGGATACAAGTAGGCCTAGTCCAACAGCAACATGTAGCTAAGGACAATAAAATGCTAGCATTTTGAGAGGTTCAATTAAATACTACAATGTTAATAGCATTTAAAGCTACTCGACGAAAAACAAGTTCTGAGGTAACTCACGCTTAAACGACGACACGAATGACGTCTTGAGAAGCATCGTAAAACTGCCTTCTGGTGGAGAGCAGAGACTTCGTAGCGAGATGTGTAAGCAGAATTTAGCGATTCGAAGTATAAGAAACTACATACTAGAAATATATTTATACCAAACGTAGTTCTGGCACAGTTTTAAAACGTTTTCATTAATGTTTGTTTAATGTTTGTCCTACAACGCGACGGAAATATTTACAGCTGGCCCGTGTCACGTGACTGCGAGGACCGTCCAGCAAAGCTTTGCACAGAGATGTCAATTTAAATCTTGACCGCAACGTCAATATATCTCAAGATTACTGCTATAATACAGGAAAATGTTGCTAGTAAGTCTTTACAACATATAACTAAATGGTTATTTTTCATGTAGCTTAACCATCAATATTAAGAAAATATTTATAATTGACATTAAAATTAAATATGTAAAATGTCAGTGTCTTCTGGAGATATTTTCTGTTTTTAACTAGGGGATTACTGGATATATTTGAATAAGTATAATATAATATACCTAAAAGTCCACTACCACCAGGAAAATACAAGTATCTGAATTAGATACTTATATATCTCATTATCTTATGTAAACGAGAAAATTTGTAAAATATTCTTTAACCCTTTAACTGCCCCACCAAGAAAACAAAAACTGGATTGCATTTCTTAACTCCTAATGTCTCTAGTTAACACACTCAATGCATTTTTTTTCAACATACCCATAATTTCTAAAATATTAACCTCTACCAAATGGTTGATATATCGGTTTACAGTAAAGTACTGGAATAAATACATATGCTATGAAAAATCTGAAAATAAGAAGTGTAAGACCAAATATTTAAAAACATAATCAAAATAAAACATTTTTTTAATTTTAATCTTTATTTTTTTAAAGTATGCCATAAAATATTTCAAATTCTCACTTAACATGTTTTCTTGTTTTTTTTGTTTTGTTTTGTTTAGAACAAAACCAATTAAAACTATAATAAACTGGATTATGTTTGATTGATTTCTTTTGTAAACTATGATTGAAAATAAATGACTTTAACAGTCAAAATATGGTCAACCATTTGGTAGAGCATGTGGTTAACACCGCTGAATTGAACAGTTCTTAAAAATAATATTTTATCTTAGTGTGAAGAACATTTTCTACTTTAAATAATTTTTAATGCAAGGAAACGGTTCTATGTTAAAGGTTTTTCGTGGAATCATTGATGCCCATGAAGAACAGGGAACAAAGTAATGATAGATAGTCATGAAATCGACTCATTTAAAGGTCCTTCAAGAGCAAATGTGCCTTACCCCCTTTCTCTATTTTTATCATTTAAACTCTTTTGCCATAATATGGCAGTTTGCCATGCTTCAAACAAACACTCTCTTTCTTCCACTCTCTGGCTTACTGCTGGGGTGAGAAGGGCACAGTAAGCCTGACAGCTCAAAGCCGTGGAAAATGACATGTCAATGCCAGATACAAGCTGTTGCAGTTGCACATTGCAGACATGAACTGCTTCCGTTCAGTGACAGCCTGACAAAGACCTTCGACTACCTTTCAGAGATACACACATCCTGTTGGAACTGTATGTGGCGCAGACTAAGCAGCATTTTTAATGTCACTGTTTGTCAATTAAATAAATGTTTGGTCCAACAAATTGGCCAATAAGTGATCTCCAATGATTCAGTTTCAATTAGTTCTACAAGTTATAATAAGTTATGCATCTGACCTCTTAACGATGATGACTAAATAATGTAATGGATATGAATGCTCTTAATGAAGTATTATTATGCAATTATTAATTCATGATAAAAATTTGCTTTAAGAATCACAACTCATATTGTATTCAAAATATGTATTTTTTTCTGAAGTTAAACAATCCTTAATTTAAAAAATGAACAATGAGGGAAAATGTATACAAAAAACAGTACCTGGTTAGAAAACATCTAATAAATTACAAAAATATATATATTTAAAATTACTATAAAAAATACCAGGATTAATGTCATTGGATTTAATGGAATTTAATCAAAATCCTTTGAACTTGGAATTAATGATTGCTAAAAAATGCTTTACTCCTCTTTTTTGTCTTAAGACAACACCGTCATCACCTCCCTGAAAGGTTTTCAAATAAAATACATTTATTTTATTTGCATAATCCAGCACTATGAGAAATAAAATAAAATAAATAATAATAATAAAAATTAAATCATGCTGTGATGGCTTGTAACTAGGTACCATTAACCATAATAATTCATAAAAATTTGTAGGATGTGGATATTTTAGTTATAATATATATAGTCATAATAAGTGGTATAAAAATAAAAACACACACAAAAAAAGCTTTATAGATTACTATAGATTAACAGTTTTTTTACACTGAAAATATGCATAAAAACACAAAGTGGCATTTTTGCATCTCCTAAAATTCTATTTTAAAAAAATCAAATAATGTTTATTTCCTGGTGTCTTGAAGAATTTATCAAGTTTTGTTCCATTATTATAATCTGCACATTTTTATTAATATATGTATATATTTTAACTCTTAATTTATCTCTTATGTGTTAACATGACTAGTTGAACACTCCGTACTGTTGATTAAATAAGTCAATGAATACTCTTTCAGAACTACTATCATCCAATGATCAATTTATGATACAAAAACTGTTGATATAAACACGGACAACCTACAGATTAATTTGACACAAGTAAGTCCTATAAATAATACATTTAGTTTTGTGTTAATAAAAAAAGAAATCCTTCAAACAGGTCTAGTCAGTGAAGCTTCTGGACTGCAGTGAAATGCTAACAAAATCCACCCACCCCCACCCTCGAACAAGCCCCCCCTCCAAAAGTGCTCCAGCCCACAGCTGCGGTATCCAGAAAGACACTCACCGGTGCCAATCCTTCCCTCTGCGTCTTTTAGGTCTTGCTGACGGTTTAGCTGGACAGAGCCGGGTGAGACTGTCAAACCTTGCCGATCTGAGCCGAGAGAGAAGCGCAGGGGAGCGTCAGTCCTCCGTCCCGCAGAAGAGCCAAGCCGAGCCAAGCTGAGCCCTCCCTGCACTGAAGCCATCGCATTCAGCCAAGATTGCTTCATACAAAAGTTGACAATGCCCTAGTGAAAGCCATTGTTGATATTCAACATTTTTTAAATAGCTGAGCAGAATGGACAACATGGCAGACTACAAAACTTGGAGGGGAAACTGACCTGGAGCTCCTGAAAAGCACCACTGAATGTGAAAGAGAAACAGCACAGAGAATCTGAAATAAAGCAAAACAGATTGATGCTTTTGAAGCCCACACGAGATGTTCAGTGCTCAGATTTACAGCCGGAATGGGCCTTGTTCTCAATTCTGGAAAATCTAATTGCATATATTATATTATATTATATTATATTATATTATATTATATTATATTATATTATATTATATTATATTATATTATATTATATTATATTATATTATATTATATTATATACATGGTGGCTCATTAGTTAGCACTGTTGCCTTACAGCAAGAAGGTCTCTGGTTCAAGTCCCGGCTGGGCCAGTTGACAGTCTAATGGCATGCACTAAAGGTGAATTAAATAAGCTAAATTGGCTGTAGTGTTTGTGTGTGAATGAGTGTGTGTGAATGTTTCCCGGTGATAGGTTGCAGCTGTAAGGGCATTTGCTGCATAAAACATAAGCTGGATAAGTTGGTGGTTCATTCCGCTGTGGCGACCCCTGATTAATAAATGGACTAAGCCGAAAAGAAAATGATTGAATGAATGAAATTGGCCGTAGTGTATGTGTGTAAATGAGTGTGCATGGGTGTTTCCCAGTTTTGGGTTGCAACTGGAACGGCATCCGCTGTGTAAATATACGCTGGATAAGTTGGCGGTTCATTCCACTATGGCGACCCCTGATGAATTAAGGGACTCAGCCGAAAATGAATGAATGAATGTGTGTGAATGGACATTATGGATGTTTGGGTGTTGTATGGGTGTTTCCCAGTGTTGGATTGCGGCTGAAAGGGCATCCGTTGCGCATAACATATGCAGGATAAGTGGCAGTTTCTTTCCGCTGTGGCAACCCCTGATTAAGGGAAAGAAAATGAATGAATAAAATTGTCCGAAGTGCATGTATGTGAATGAGTGTGTATGGGTGTTTTCTAGAAATGGGCTGCAGCTGGAAGAGCATCTGCTGTGTAAAACAGATGCTGGATAAGTTGGTGTTTCATACAGCTGTGGCAACCCCTGATGAAGGGACTAAGCCGAAGGAAAATGAATTATATAATAAATTATTTTATAAGTATGTTTTTATCTGACTATTAAATCCATCAGATGATTAATCAGTTTTGGGAAAAAAAATGCTTGCATTCCTTTTAAGCAAAAAAAAAACATACATGATTCACTTCAGAATAGGGAAAAACACTAACACTTTGCTGCGGTTGAGTAGCTGACAAGTAATATATGAAAGCACTGCAAACATAAACTGCAATATAAATGATGACCTCTCTGTGCTCATCCATTTCAGCCTTTAATTGTTGTTCTGATTGCCTTGATGGCTCCTGACAGTAAGTGGTGTTTTATTTCCATCTTTGTCAAAATGACAGGCACAGATTAATAAAGACATTTACTGCAACCCTCGCCACCCATCTGTCAACATGAAACCTGGAGCAATAAACACAGAGGGAAACCTTAAGGCTTAATGCAATTTCATAACCAGGAATTTCTGTGGCATTTAAGCTCACTGGCCGTCACTCAGTAGTAATGAGTGTTTAATTATAAAAAGGTGAGAAACTGTAGCTACTGCACCCATCTAAAAGCCATAATCCCGTTCACACTCTACAGATGGCTTTTATTTGCCTCATTACCATACATGCCACAGGGGGCAGCTTTGTTTCACGTCGTTACATATATCAAAACACAGAGTTCCAACTACTTTATGCATTTGTTTTCCAGCAATTAGTCTATAATCAAGCACCTTCTGAGCTCTATGTGATTTCCAAGGGTTTAAAGTATGGGATTAGTCACCCGGAAAACTGGCCATCTGAGCGGGAGGAGGCCACCAGAATTGCATAATTATATTGATCAGGGCCAAATTACAGCCTTGACAGCAGAGGCCGGCCTAGTCTGATCCTACAGGTGTGTAGGGGAAGAGAGAGCAAGCTGCTGGGAGAAAGATCTTCCTGGAAATCGACGTCAGTGGCACTCATCTCACACCATTACCTGCCATCAAAGTGCTAATTTTACTCTGCACATTACACCCAATCCTGCTCGTCCAGCCCCCTCCATGCTGGGCCGGATGGAGAAGCCTGGTGGGAAAACGACATTCAATCTGCCGGCCGCCCCATTCAGGCTAAATTGTAAAATGATGGCTTTCCACCTCTAAAGTTTCAGGAAGTGAAAGGTGGCACCAGTTCTGGGTTGAGCCGAGGAAGAACAGAGAAGGAGAATCAAATCCTCCAAACTCTGTGCACAAAGTATGCATGATGAACATTATTAAATAATCATGGGTATAATGTTTAAAAAAGTTTGCATGGTTCCATACACAGATCCCCTATATAAGGCAAAATCTTCATTAAAGTGGATTTTGTATTTATTATTATTTTAGTATATATATATTTTTCAGGTTATTGGTTGTTTACAGGGTCTTTTAATGAACTTAGATTTTAAGTTTTCTGTAACCCAAGTTTGGTTCTATAAGATCTTTGCAAACCTGCATTTCAACCTTAATTCATAAGATTGATAACTTTGGTACCTTTGACAGAAAGAAAATTTACCTGATATTTTAAGAGTCTATTGAAATTATATTTCCCATATCATAAAAATTCTTATGTATAAAATACAATGTGTTAATCAAAAGTAATGCTTACTTTTTCTAAGCAAATCTTTATATATTTATTCAAATTAATAAATAGTACACTTTTTAAAAAATTAAGCCAGAACAACGAAAAAACACAATCCTTATTTCCCTTTCACTTTTTCTAGTCCACTCAACTTTTAAAAACATTGGCTGCTCTGGCCTAAAAACATTTAGTTGGGTTAACAAGATTATTTATTAGTTTTCTAAAGTTGTGAACTACTCTGGAACAAAACCTTTTAAGTTATGCCAACTGAACATTTTTTGTCTGCGGAACTAAATGCCTGAAGTTAAATTAACAAACTTTATTTTTTTTTTTTGTGTACTCAACATTTTTTTCACCTTTAGTTGATAGGACAGTAGAGAGATAAGAAAGCATGGCAAGAGCAGAGAGGGGACGAATCAAGATAGGACTTTGAGGCGGGAATCGAACTTGGGTCGCCGTGAACACTGGAGTGCAATATGTAGACGCACTAGCCACTACACCATTGATTCCGACGTGTGCTCAACTTTTGAAAACATCAGTTGCACTGACCTAAAATGTCTGAAGTTGAGTGAACAATCGGTACTTAGAAACATTACATTATCAGACGAACAAACAATTCAATTGGAAACAAAACTAAAACAGAGACATAAAAACAGGACAGGAGGCAAAACAACAATAACGGTAAACAAGACAAAAATCAAAACGGGCAGGACAAACGGGGGGAAATGCTTTGTAATGCTTCACATGTGAAGTATGCTTTTCTGTTTTTTCAATTGAACTATGTTTGTTTGTTCTGATAATGTATTATTTCTTAGTACCAATTTCCACGGGAGTTTTTGTTGTTGCTGTTGTAGTTGTTCAACGAAAGGAAATAAGGATTATGTTTTTTTTTTGTTCCTTCAACTTAAGGCATTATAGTTCAGCAGACAAAAAATGTTCAGTTGGCTCAACTTAAAAAGTTTTGTTACAGAGTAGTTCAGGATTTTTTTTACATTTTTTTCAGTATAGCATGGTTATAGCTTACAAACAATAAAATATTAAAGCTAAAATATTTTTTGTTGGCAGATATTACATCATAATTTAGTATAATAAATATGTTTTGCAGAAGTGCAATAACTTACTTATACTGTCATGTACTTAATATGTGTATTAAAAAAAAAGAAATATATATATATATATATATATATATATATATATATATATATATATATATATATATATATATATATATATATATATATATAAAGCGCAGTGGGTAGCAAGAAGGTCGCTGGTTTAAGCCTCGACTGTGTCAGTTGGCATTTCTGTGTTAAGTTTCTGTGCATGTTCTCCCTGTGTTTGCTTAGGTTTCCTCCGGGTGCTCTGGTTTACCCCACAGTCCAAAGACATGCGCTATAGGTGAATTGAATTAGCTAAATTGGCCGTATAGTGAATGTAAAAGTTTACGGGTGTTTCCTGGTGTTGGGTTGCAGCTGGAAGGGCATCCGCTGCAAAAAACGTGCTGGATAAGTTGGCGGTTCATTCCACTGTGGCGACCCCTGATTAATAAAGGGACTAAGCCAAAAAGAAATGAATGAATGATAAAATATATAAAAGTGATCATATGTAACTTGTATTTTATTAGATTAACAACATGGGTAAAACCTAGTGATAAATGAGTAAAACCTAGTCTTAAAACTACAACTAATCAGTATTTAAGGCCTGCACTTCGATCTTTCACATCTTGTCATCCAACAAGATTTTTAGTATATAAACTATTACCATGCATTACATTTTAGTGGATGTCTTTTTAAATAAAAAAGTATCATATGCTCAATAATAGTTTCACTCAGCAGTCCAGATGCAAGAATATAAAAGGCTGGAACACAGCACAGCTCAGAAAAGTGCATATAAACACAAGCACACGTGCAAAACAAAAGCGAACTCTTCAGGGCCAAGGCATACAGCGAATATGCAGAAATATTGAACTCAACATAACCCCCCCCTTCTCACCGCACACCCGGAAAGAGGGGTGCTCTCTCTGCTAATTAAGTGCTAATGGTTGTGGCCCTGCAGAGAATACTAATTAGGATTTCTATTCTCCTTTTGGGTGAGCATGTACTTCAACACAGCCTAATGAGGGGAGGCAGGTATGTGTGTGCTGTGTGCTGGGTTAATGGGGGGTCCACTCTCAGGTCTCAGGGCTGTGGGTTGAAGAGGGAGGCGTTTCCTGTGCCTTGGCCTCTTTCACATAGAACCACACACACACACACACACACACACAAACACACACACACACACACACGCACACACACACACACACACACACACACACACACACACACACACACACACACACACACAATGGGAAGTGAAAGGAAGAAACTCCAAGATACCTGGTATTTCAAAATATTCTCCAATTTACTTTGTGCTACGTTCCTCATTTCTTTAAAATCTGTAACTTCAAA